CCAAGAAAGGGACTGAGTTTCTCTGGGTGAGAAGGGTCAGGAAGCAGTATTGGTTTCCCAGGTGTCTGGGGCCCCGAGACTAGGAATGGCGCAGGGCCCAAACTAGGAGTATAGAACGGCGAGGCGGGGGATGGAAGGGTGAATGTCGCTTAGGGAGTCACAGCGCAGAGAGCTGCGCTATAGACTTACCCCAAGAGGCCTGAGGATAGTCTCCAATGGATTTTTGATATCTCAAAAACATTAAAGGGGAGATTCAACTACTTCTTGTTTGTCCTGGAGGGATGATTAAAAGATACTCCTTCAGAGACCAAAATCTCTAGATGTTCAAGCCCTTTACATAGCATAACCTATGCACATCTTCCATATACTTTAAATCAACTCTGTATCAGAATACCTAATATGTCATTAGTGCAATGGTACACCATTTAGTCACTACTACCTTAACAAGTCTACATACAGTAAGCACACATTCTTTTCCTCAAAATTTTCCATCTGTGGTTTGTTGAATTCACAGATGCAGAACTGAGGAATATTAAGGGCTAACTTCACATTTATCTCCAACATATTTATGCACACACACATACACACACACACACACACACACCACATATACTGAAGAAACTTGTTCTCTTTTATTGACGAACTTAAATATTTCACTTTAAGTAGAGTTAATAAAGAAGTTATCTCTAAAAATCTATTTTGTATAATATACAATCATTTAAGACCGTGTTATTTGAGTGGAGAATTTACAAGACGGTGATTTTCTTACAAGGATTCACTGTGCTCTAGAAATTAGTGAAGTAATTGGAACCCAGTGGTATGGCATAGTTGGGCTTTTCTTAAAACATTGGAAGCAGTAGTGGGTGTACTCTTACACCTGACAAAGGAAAAAAAAGCATTTTCCTAAGCTGTGTGACTGGAAAGAGACATGGTTCCATGATTAAGTCACTAAAAGTTTAATATCCCATTGAGAATAGAAGTTGGGAGTTATATCACCAATAACCACAAATCTGTAAATCTACTTTCTAAAATTTACCATGTTTAAACCCTACAGAGGTCTTATTATTTAGGATTTGCATATATGACAATCTGTCATCTCCATAAGTCCCTTTGCCTTTAATAAGAACCATAGCTTCTAGGTATTCACTCAGCTGGAAAACAGAGGGAGCCTGAGACACAGAGAAAACGGGCTTCTATGTGGCCAGGACACATTATATTCAGATCCTAGATATCTGATGTCGAGAAGCACTGATGCTGAGCCCCAGGGCCTGCAGCTATAAAACAGGAATTTCAATGTCTACATTGCAGATGTGAAGGCAGAACTGGGAAAGGGTCAGGTATGAATGTAAAACACAGCACCAGGGAGACGGAAGACATTGGAATAAATGTGGCTTTCATCCCTTACCAAGTAGGTGCAGTGAGGACAACAACAACAAAATTCTTTCTCCAGAGCCTATGAAACTGGCACAATTTGTTTTTCTTGCCTTTTGACTTCTTCTCAGATATCAAAAATATTCATACTGTCCTTCCAACTTCCAGTTCTGAGGGAAAAGACTGAATATATCGGCTCTTTCAAAATGCTTCGAGCAGAGTAGTTGATTCAATTGTTTCTTCTCACAAATGTATAGGCATAATTCAATATTCTAAATGCCTTTGATATTTTTCTTTGATGACAGCCACTCCACTTTCTTTAAAAAAAAGTCTCATCTGGAAGCATCTAATACTTTTAAAGTTTTATTTGAGGTACTAAAAGTGTCACCATGTATTCTCAATGTTTGTTTATTAAGTGAGACAACATTTGTGACCACCTTCCCTGTAAACCTAGCTGGTAATTAGCCACAATGTGGATTCTACCTTCCCAAGTAAAGCAAGGGCCCCAAATCCTTTCATCTTTCAAACTTTGTTCTAGCGAACACATGACTCAGGTTCCACCAATGAGATGCATCTCAAGAGAATGAAATTTCAAAGTCAGCACAATGGGAAGCAGCTGTGACCTAGTGGATAGTCTCCCAGTTCTGAGTGGGGGTGGCACAGCTCCTGGACTATAGAAGTTGCTGAGCCCAAGGGTAGGGTGTGTGCATGTGTGTGTGTGTGTGTGTGTGTGTGTGTGTGTGTGTGTGTGTTGGGGAGCCTGAAGAGTAGTGCTCTCAAAAGACAGTGCTCTTGAGGAAAGGATTGATATCAAAATAAATTTAGGACTTAGGAACTCCCAGAGGATACTGTATATATGACCTTACATAAGCAAAATTATTTTTACTGAATATTTTATTTTTATTGTATACATATGAGTGATTTGCCAATATGTATATAAAGGCCTCAGAGGCCAGAAAAGGGTGTTGAATTCTCTGGAACTGGAATAACAGAAGATTGTGAGCCACCATGTGGATGCTGAGAACCAAACGCAGGTCCTCTGCAAAGGCAGCAAGAGCTCTTAACCACCTGCCATCTCCCTAGTCCCAAAAGGAAGATATTGAGAGTTTATGACACTTTTTTGATAAAACTCCATTCAAAGGGAGACCAACTCCCTTTTAAGTACTTTCAGTAAATCCCTAAATGTTCTTGACTACTAAAAAAGAGATCAGCAATCAGTTTGCACAGTAAGCATCCAACAAATACTTGCATCTCATGGAGCTGGAAAACAGAAAAGCTACATAATAAAATTTCTGGAGCCTGCTACCTAGTTGAGGAGGAAATGGTCAGGCTGCTATGGTCTCACTTGCAGTTAGTCCAAGAGGGCACTGAATACTATAACTTAATGAGAAAAGCAGACTGCAGAAAGCTAGAGAGAAGATTTGGGAAAAGAAGCCCTGAAGATTTCAACATTGCTGATGTGTTACAAAAACTTTCCACTGGTTTCTATCATTATGATAACAAAACAAAACAAAACTTACAAGTGATATATTTAACAAGGACATGTTTTGTAATAGTTTATAATGAGTTTCTATTAGTAGTCCTTGAATTCCAGATAGTGATTTTCCTATGTAGCAAATGTTTTAATAGTAAAGGCATTTATTTTAAGATGAATTAACCTATAGAAATGTACTTTCCTCACAACAGCATCTTGAGACTAACAGTTCAGAGTTTCTTTTATTCAGAAGAACACAAAATACTCCTCCCTGTATCAGCACCTAAATTTTTTTCTCAAATTAAGATGTCTTTAAAAACTGATCCATCATCCTTATATTCAAGATACATTGGCTACAGTCTTTTTATAAATATACGAACATGTAATTGATTCTTGGCTCCTATTTGTGGAAGCCTGGGTTTTGTTGCTGTTTTCTTTTTTAGAAAGGATTTTGTGTAGCCCAGGCTGTCCTTGAACTCCAAGTATAGTTGAAGTTGACCTTCAACTTCTGATCCTCCTGTTTCCACTTCCAGAATGCTGAGATTATATGCATGCATCACCATGGCTGCTTTTATGAAGTGTTGGGGATTGAACCCAGGACTTTGTGGCTAGGCAACCACTCCATCAGCTGAGCTATATCCCCAGCCCTAGATGTCAGTTTCTTAAATTCATCATTAAAGATGTGGTTTACAACTGCTAACTTAATATACAACAAATGAATTTATAGGAAACTCCATTATGTATACTTTCCCCTTGAACCAGGTTTTAGATTTCTTACTTAAAAACTACTTCAAGTAGGAGGCCAGTGAGATCGTCTTCATATAATAACCATACTAATCAGCAAACCCAAACTAATCTACAAAATATGTTTTAAATATTGGTTTCTGGGTGTTGGGGGTACATGAAGTAAGTAGTTAGAGAAGTACAGCATGAGCGATAATGGTGGTGATCGAACACTATGATTGAACTATATTTTGATTCTGGTGATGGATACATAATCCTACATATGATACAATTATAGAAAACTAAATATGAATATATAGAAAACACACAAATACAGGGGCACAGGTAAATGTGGGGAAATGCAGTACAGCTGCCAGTGGACTCTATCAATGTCAACATGCTGACTGTGATAAGGTACTGTAGTTTTGTAATGTATCACCATTGGGGCAACTGTACAGGAAATCTCCCTATATTAGTTCCTACAACTGCATGAGAATTTATAAGGATCTCAATACAAAAGCTATAAAAGAAAAATACTTTCTCTACGTGTGTGTGCATGTGCGTGTGTGTGTGTGTGTGTGTGTGTGTGTGTGTGTGTCTGTGTGTCTGTGTGGTGAGGATTGAGTACAGAGGCCATTGTGTGGCTGGTACTCAAAAAGCACTTTGGTGGGGACTTCATGAAGAGAAATTCAGTGAGAGTATGGACAAAGGACACACACATTGATTATCAGAAAAAATAAGTCTATTTAAAAACTATATGAATCACTCAGTTTCTCTAAAATATTCCTTTAATCTAAAACATCTCTTATGTAGACACTGACCTTTTTCACTCCTCATCTCCACAATGAAAATAGTTGACTTAATTTTTCCATTCAGGTTTTGCTATTGTAATTAGCTTTTGAAAATAACTCTTATGAAAAGACAAGCTTCAATTTTCTAAAAAAGCATCTCTTCAAGACATTGATAGTGCTGATTAATAGTCACTATGAGTATGTCATGAGCCTTAAGTATATTTGTATTTGATAGTTGTTTCCACTGCCAAGTATATTAAAAGGCATCCCCATGTCACATTCAATAATAGTTATTACAATAACGCAAATATGCATTTGACTAATTGACAATGTTTTCTTTGGGGGACACTTAATTAGATAGCAATTAAATTTACTTTTGCAATTTTTCTTTTGTAGTAATTTTTGGGAGAAGGGAAAAAGCTGGGTAGGGGCATCTCAATACCTTTCAGGGTCCTAAGAGCTCATTTTCCCTACACTGTGGACACATAGAATATAACAAATATTACTAATTTTTAGCTGGTTATGCAGGAGATCCATTCTTAAAATGTGGACTATGATGGTACAATAGGGAAATTAATATAATGAATTGATTTCTCAAATCCAGCCTATCAATCTTTTAAAACAGAGTAGCAAAAACTAACCTGAGCATGTGGGCAGCATTGAAGACAACATCAAACTCCGTACTGTCCAGCTCAGCTGCTTTTTTCGCCATCTCTGCTGCTTCTATGAGGCGAGCTTCTTCCAGAAGAAACTGCCCTGCAAAGTAAAGAAAGCAAGTGAGCTCACCTCAGAAAATAACCATTTGAAACAATAAAGTATGGTGGAAAAGGTGTTTCGAAGTTGAGATAATGCCATCTCATTATTTAGTCATATTTTGTATCCCTTTCCCTTAACAGCAGGGCATTGTAAAGATTCTAATATTATAAACAAACCTTTAATTTCTTAAAAAGGACTCTTCAAAGGCTACTCAAGAAAGAAACACAAAGACTACATTTAAAGATGTATTATAAGTCAGTTTAATATGATAACAATTTAGCAAAGAACAAGTATTAAGATCTACCGTATATTCTGTGACCTGTCTATCCTCAGGTTTCTAAGTCTGCTATCAGTGTCAGGTATGGGCTACAGCTTATGAAGCAAACCTTAGCTCCAAACAGATAGTTGTTGGTTCTTCCCATAATATTCATGCCACTATTACACCAGTGGGCACATCTTCTCAGGCCAGTTGTGGTAGTTCATAGGATTCACAGATGGGTAAGGTTGATGCTTATTTTTTCCTTCTGGCAGGAAGGAGAACACCTTCCAGAACTACGAACACTAGCCAGTAGAGATGAGGCTCTGAAATCAGCACAACCTTTATTTCTTCATTTGTTCTATAGCTCATGTATGAAGTGTCTTCACCAATAGTTATTGCATTAAACTGACTCCTAATGATTTATTGTTGTACTCATAGATTAATGCATCTCTCCACTATCACCAGAGAAGTTTCCTTATGCAGCAGATGGTGATTAACACAGAAACCCACAACTGGCCAATGTGCAGCAAACAAGAGGCTACAGAGTGTTTATCCCTGTAAAGAATACCTATAACAAACTTCTGACTCGGGGATCATTGTGGAAGAGGAGGTGGAAAGATTGTAAGAGCCAGAGGCAGTGGTTGTCCACAAGTAAATAGTCTTCCAGATATCTGGTCAGTTACTTACATGAACTCACAGCAATGGTAGTAGTATCCACAAGTCCCATGTAAGCTAAAACCAGACAAAATCCCGGCATAGACAACATGAGGAAGTTGATAAATCCCAAACCAAACTAAGGAACTTTTGGCAATTAGTGGTTGCTGGGAGAGGGAGAGACAGTCTCTTTCAAGAGTAGGACTCTTGGTAGGTTTAACCAGGCCCAGTAGATGGACACACACTGAAGGACATTTGGGGACACAAATCTGACTCCATAAGCCTTTATAATACAGTACATTAAATTGGGCAGGGCCAGTAAGGGGAGGTATGGATAGTGGTGATAAGGATCTAAATACTACCAAAATATATTCTATGAAAATTGCAATAAAAAAATCAAGATGTATTATAGGGCCCAGCATAGAGGCACACTCTTTTAATCTCAGCACTTGGGAGGTAGAGGCAGGCAGATCACCACTGTAAGATCTAGGCCAACCTGGGATGGTCTACATAGAGAGTTACAGGTCAGCTGGAGCTATATAGTGAGTCCCTGACTCAAAAACTAAACAAAAAACAACAGCCCAAACAAAAAAGATGTACCATAAATACAAGTCAATTGATTTTAACTGTTAGTACTTTGAAACAGTACCCATTGCTGATGTCTACACAGAAACAGGTATATCCATATTGAGATAGTCATTTCTTCCTGAAATTATGAATGAATATAGAAAGGCAAAGTTGTCAATAACTCATTCTGAATTAGACTTAGCAATGAAAGTGGAATCAGTATTAAAATGGCTAATTTTTTTAGATTACTTTCAAATCAGCTTTGCAAGGGTGGAATTATCGCAGCTAGTACCACATAATTCTTTAAGCTTTTATCTTAAGAGTTGTTAGATAATGAAATCCTACAAACTAGCTGTAAAGGTAAGACAAAACAGAAAAATTAGGTCAAATTTTAAGGCTACATATATGTAAACAGAAACAATGAGTGCTTTTTTACAGCTGAGAGTTATGAACAGAAATACCAACTTAGGCTTGATTTGATAGGGATATTCAAATTAAAACCAAATCAAAGGATGGCAGAGCTAGACTGACTTCATCCATGCACCTGCATGTTTGTGGTGTTATGCTCCAGTTATCATTTCTTTTTTGAAATTTCCAGTTTGCTTAAAGATGAAGGTCTTGAAACTACCAAGTAATTATAGAAATGATTTGAAAGTTGTGAGCTGCACATAGAAACATAAAAACAGAAAAATGTTGAGTAAAGATAAATCTAGTCACTGGCTATGGTGGTTGCACAACTGTATTCCCCAGCACTTGAGAAACTAGTGCAGGAGAATAATGAGTCTGAAGTCAGTTTTGAGTTACATGGGAAAGTCCTGTCTTCAAAAGGGGCAGGGGAGGAAGCGAGAGTAGGAAACCCAAGATTAGAGAGCCTCCTTTTAAAAGGGATTTGGAGAAGGTTTAGATATTGCTACAAAATATTTCATGTCACTTTCTTATGTTATCTGCCTTACTCATCATCCCAAATCAACATGGTTCTTGGGTCAGAAAAATAATTAAGGTAGTATTTTTAAAAATTTATAAATATGGGTCTGAAAACAAGAATCAGCAGATAAGAGCACTGGACTCTCTTGCAGAGGACCTGGGTTCAATTCCCAGTACCCACATGGTGGGTAACAACCATCTGTAACTCAAGTTCTAGGGGAATCTAACACTTTCTTCTGACCTCCATGGACAATGCATGACATGGATTCACTTACATATATATGCAGTTTTATTGCTGTTAGCCACCAGACAGAGGAAAAAAGCCTCTGAACTGCTTATGTTGACCATAGGGTAGTCTATTCCTTCACAATCACTGTTATTTCTGGAACATTCTACCTCTAAGTTTTCTTGACTGCTAAGGCTCTCTCACCTCCATCTCTAGTTCTGTACAGCCTATTTATTGTAATTAAACTGCTTTCATTTTAATGTCCTAACTACATTTTTCTCATTGAAACCTTCCTTGACAACTCTCCAGTAGCTGTTTGAATTTTTTACAATATACATTCACTGCAGTCTAATTTATCAACAAAACCAGAGCATTTCAAAGAGTATACAGGATGTTACTGATTATGCTGGAATAAGGGTGTGCACCAGTGTTGTCTCTGTCAGGTCACTTCAGTTGCATGGGTGGGTCCCAATCCCTTCATCTTCACCACAATTGGGAAGCAAAACATTTGCAAAAGAAGGGACTGAATTACTGCCACAGAAAGATCAAGAGCAGCAAGAGAGACATAGGTGTTCTTCCCTGAAGAATTACATTTGAGTCCACCTAGACTGGCCATGGGGGCTCAAACTGAAACAGGACCAGCATGCTAAAGAAGAGAGGGAAAATGGTAAGGCAGACATTTCAGTGAGTCCATTCACCATGGTAAATTCTTCCAGGGCTGGAAAGCTTACAGTCACATTGGTCTCTAGCTCAGTGCAAATCCGATGCACCCTTCTCCAGCTTCACGTGTGTGAATCTGAGACAGACCCTCAAATCTGTGTTTTTCACAAGCTCCCAAGTGCTGCTGGTAGGGCACATCCACACTTTGAGAAACAGAATGTTAAGGAAAAACCAAAGTGTTTTTCCCATACTATGGATTATAATTATGTATGGGATTAAGTTAAAGTTAGCATAAACTAGACTGATAATCAACTGCATCTGGCAATCATCCCTACATTATTGGACATAATGACTAACTTTTACATGCACATGTAGATAGAAAGATATACATGCATGAATGACACAGCCAATAAACATATTTGGTCTTTCTGAGAGTAACTGCAAGAACAGATAGCTAAGAAATCATTTATTTTTCACATACAGTAGATAAACACATTCTTCATGTTTGATTATTGAGAAGAACTGCAAATAAACCACAAAAACGCCTTGTGTAAAATATCCTTTATTCTTATGTGGGTGTTCTTGCTACCATTCTTTTACTTCTTTGTTTGTAATCTTTCTTACCAAAGCTAATCGTCCTCATTTTACATCATTGTCTCAAATCAAAGGAAGAGGAAAAAAGGAGGAAATGAAAAACTAAGTTGAGAAATTATTTTTAAAAAAGTCATTTCTGTATGGGAAAAACAGAAAATGATTCAAAAAGAAGCATTCTCTAGAGATCCCAAGACAAGGAGTTTATGTCTCCACACAGAAGAAAGTGGATGAGGGAAAAGCAATTGATGGCCCGAATGTCAATGGTTTCAGTGCAAAAGTTGTATAATTTCTCCTCTGGACATATCCTTCACATACTGAACCATTTAAGCGACTTGGTAGATTTTTACTAAAATTTCAATATGACAAGCTTATGAAGATCAATCCTTTATTAATTCCTGGATTTAAAAAGCTCTTCCTGTGAAGTAGAAATCAGTAAAAATGAAAGCTGGCGGTAAGCTGCAGGATCAAATACTACTTTGTACAAATTCTACATGTAACCTTCTTAAATTAATTGGAACTGGCATTTCTTGCTAAAATACGATGAAAAATTCTCTCCTAAGATCAACACAATTAAACTGAAGTCCTGAAACAATGTGTAATAGGTATCAAGACGACACAAGTCTCCTTAGGAAAAAATTATTCATACATACGTAGTTTTAAAAGATGTTCAAAAGGAAATAAAAATTTATTTACTAAACTAGAGCATAGCATTTGTATTAAATAGTTCCCTGTGGAAGAAACTGATATGATCCTGAAATATCCTGAATCATCCAACTCCTACCAATACTACCCTATATCAAAGCATGATCTTGCCCTGGATAGCTGCACTAACTTCCTAAGTGGTACCTATGGGTCTGCTCATGATCTTACAAGGGATTCTTCAAACATCAGTCAGAGAACTCTTGATTGAATGGGAGCTAATTTACACCATCCTGTAGCTGATCCAGGATCTTTAAACTGGCCTATGTATTTTGATGATTATCTCTAGACCCTCTTGTCATTTATTTAATACATCCAGGGAACAAAGATTGCTGCTACTGAATCTTTTCATGTCATTTTCACTACTGGAAATGCTTTTCCCACAGATACCCCATGGTCTACCCTCTTACCTTCTGA